TTTTTCTCTATCTGAGATTGTATTATGGCACAAACAGATCAATTTATTATATTCATTTTTTACGTCCAGCCTCCAGAGTCACCCCTCCTTTTATCCAGTAGCTCACAATATAGGAAATCAAAACAATGCAAGTATTTGATTTTGTAGTAAATATGAATCTATATGATGATGTGTTACCAAAAATAGACACTTACTGCCATAAGGAGAGTTAGCTGAGGAGCCATTAAGAAATCCAGGGGAACCTGGTACACCTAGATTGGGCATGCCGGCATTGCCATATCCATTCATGCTATTGCTGACTGTGTTGTAATTGGACTGCTGAGGAGTACTGCTGGGAACATATCCTCGCGGGGAAACACTGCTTGTGTTGCGACTGTAACCTACTGTGTTAGAAACCCCCCCACCCCAAAAAAATAATGTTATTTTATAATATAGACTTAGGGCTGGGGGGTTTCCTCATGCAGCATATATTACACAGTTTTAATTGATTGCACAGCTTTGCTCTAAGTTGTCTCTTACTGCCCTATCAACTCTTGCAGTTTGAGATAACTTTATCACGCCAACCCTACTTAAATCATCCGCGAGCACTCTATGTTGTCTCTCCTCTTAGCACAGACAGCCAACAAAAGCTCTCTTCGATCCAGCTGTGTCAGGTGCCTTCACGTTTGTCTTTAGGAGCAATTATCAACAGGCTCGAGTCCCGCTTTGTACCAACACACTGAATGAACTTTCAGCCTCTCCAGACCTTCAAATGCCATAGCTGACAAGAAAAACTTTTTTGTTGCAGTGATTTACTTTAAAAGGCTGCTTTGGGGTCTTCGTTTTATGACTGATATTTTTATGCTAACAACAAGCTCGTACTTTCTGTAAGGTGTAGCCACCAGTGAAAACTAATTCAAGATCAAGTACAGAATTTTATAAGGCTTATTAGCTTGGAAATGCATTACGAGACAATCTTTTTAGAAGAGGAAACATAGCGGAATCAGGATTTTAAACAACAGTTTGTTCCTATCTGAGCAATCAATTTAATAATTACGTTGCAAACAAAAAATATGGGTTTGAACATATCTAATAATCCTGTTTCCCTCCTTTCATTAGTATCAAAATTAATTTTAAATGCAATATGCTACGTGCATTTTCAATTACAACAGGTAAATTAAATCAACTATTACTTTTATTAGTAACATATATGTCACACATGCCTATAAACAAAGTATTTTAAAAATCACAGACATCAAATTAGATTTATCTGTGTAACTATTCCAAAACCAGGTGGAGATACCTAGACATAATTATTTTATAAAAAACATACACGCTGTATATTTACTGTGAATAATAAAGAGCCTTCTACACTTTGCCAATTTTTTTTTTTTCCCCCCACTGGAGATGCTTTATGATAACAGTAAATGAAAGAACAGGAAGAATTAAATATTACGAGAAAGTTAAAGACGGCATTTCATTACACGATCAGACACATGACTACGGGGGAGAAAAAGAAGTAGAACACAGCGGTGACATCAGCTCGTATTAATAGGCACCGGCCAAAAGCAGTCAACAACGTGAAGGATTAACTCTTGAAATCCCACATACCTTGGTCGTTCGCTTGTGATGTTTCGGAAACATTGACGGCGAGCTGGCTGCTGAAGGAGTTCACCCCCATCATGCCAGTGTGAGCCGGAGTGTTGGCTAGAGTGGGGATCTGGTTGTGATTGCGTGGCACGCTGTATAACGCTTCAGCAATGTCAGCCGCTCGTTTCAGGATTATTTCCTGTAAAGACATAAAATAAGCACCGACAGCTAAGAAATATTCCAAGTGGCAATAACCTTAAAATTTGCAGAAGGGATTCACGTGAAATTACAGTAAGGGTGGGGATTTCGCTCCTCGTTTCAACTGCGCCTTCTGTTTTCCTTCCCGCGCACCGGAGCACTGCGCAATTTCACGTCAACACAGTGAGTACAAGGAAATGAACATAAAATTACAGTTTAGCACTGTAAGTCATGCGAAAATTGTAACATCCACTTCATTCGTCCCGGGCAGTAGCTGTGTTTTCAGCAGTTTGCAAAATACGGTATGTTTTATCCGCTCTGTTTAGCAGATTTCTTTAGGACTTCCCATTAGTCACTGTATATTTTGGCCCGAGTTCAAGGTTATTCTCTTGCCTTAATGATTGCTTATGCTTTTGGCACCTTACACTTAATTGTCATTTCTGATAGGCAAACTAGCCGTGAGAAGAGAATGGGAAGATGAAGCGTTTCCCTTAGAGCATTGCATCACATCAGCCTGCCCTCAAGGTGGCTGGCAAAGCCAGGCTGTGTACAGCAGGAACGTGCCGATGCTCTGCCAGCTTCGCACGGCGCAGGTATTGATTTACATAGGTAGGCGTGGAGACGGAGACTGCGCTGGCGACCTACCTGGTTGTTGTGGGGCATCCCATATAGGGCTTCGACAAGGTCTGCCGCTCTCTTAAGTAATACTTCCTAAAGAGAAACAAACAACCTG